AATGCAAAAGTGGGGAAAATACAGGAAGAAATGGTCTCTGAAACGCCCACGGGAGGCCACCCCAGGGTGAAGGGACGCGCCCTACCAATGGCCTGACCCTATCGCAGGTGGCGGGAGGAAACCGGATGGGGGCCCCCTCCTGAGCGCAGAGCAAGCTGCAGGAGTGCAGGCGGAGGAGGGATTTTGGAGGTGGGACCCAGAAAGAAAAAAAGAAAGAAAACTATGCACTGGAGACACAATGTGGGAATTCTGCCCCATCTGATTCCCACCACCCCACGGAGGCAAAACACTAAGGACATGGAATAGAACAGCACCAGGAACAGAGCAATGAAGTCCCCAGGGAATACCAAAAATAAACTTTGGGCCAGGGCTTGGTACCCCATCAGACTCGACTGGAAAACACTCCTAAAGACCAACAAACAGTACTTGAACTAACTACAAGCTTTTCTTTTTTGTTGTTGTTGTGTTGTGGTTTTTTGTCATTGGCTATTTGTTGTTGTCTTTTTGGTGTTGTTTTGTTTTCATTTGTTGCTTGGTTTTGCTCTGTCTTGTTTTTGTGCATGGTTATTATATCCACAGGTCTGTCTAAATCAGATAGGCTGGATGAACAATCTGGAGGAGAAAACAATGGGACCGACAGTTCCAGGGGTACATGGGAGAGGGGGAAGTGGGGGGAAAGAAAGTAGTACTCCTTCAGGACCAGTGGTGTGTGTGGCAATACTGGGGGCGTAGAGGGAGGGTGGGTTGGAAAGGGGGAACCGATTATAAGGATCAACATGTGACCTCCTCCCTGGGGGACGGACAACAGAAAAGTGGGTAAAGGGAGACATCGGACAGGGCAAGATCTGACAAAATAACAATTTATAAATTATCAAGGGCTCATGAGGGAGGGGGGAGGGGGGAGGGAGGGGGAAAAATGAGGATCTGATGCCAGGGGCTTTGATGAGGGCAATGAATGTACAAATATGCTTTACACAATTGATGTGTGTATGGATTGTGATAAGAGTTGTATGAGCCCCTAATAAAATGATTAAAAAAAGAAAAAATAGGAATACTGAATGATGATATATTAAAGAATTCAGAGACCAATACACATATTTGACTTATTGCAAAGTTAATGAGTCTTTTTTTCCACAGTTATTTTATTTGCATTTATAAATATCCATGAGTGCTATACCTGACCATCTTTGAAGCTATGATTATGGTTTTCCAGCGGCTTCTTCATTCAAAGTGGGAAGCCGAGTCCTTCCTTGTCGTCCGTTCTTCATCAGGAAGCTCCGCTGAAGCCTGTTCACTTTGGGTGACCCTGCTGGCATTTGACATACCAGTGACATAACTTTCAGCATCCCAGCAACACACAAGCCACTGTACTGGCAGACAAGTGGTGGGCACTGAAAGATTGCTACTTGGCCAACTAACCGAAAGAGATTCATATTTATGCCCATTCCAAAGAAAGGTGACCCCAAAAATGCACAATCTATAGAACGTTATCACTGATATCGCATACAGGTAAATTTTTGCTTAAAATCGTCTGACAATGGTTGTAGCAGTACATTGACAGGGAACTGCCAGAGGTTCAGGCTGAATTGAGAAGATGATGTGGAACAAGGAAATTTTTGCAGATGGATCTTGGCTGATAGCAGAGAATGCTAGAAAGATGTTTACTTGTGTTTGACTGTGCAAAGGCATTTGATATTTGGACCATAATAAATTGTGGATAATGTTGAGAAGAATGAGGATTCCAGAACACTTCATTGTACTCATGGAGAACTTGTACATGGATCGAAAGGCAGTTGTGCAAACAGAATAAAGGAATACTGCATGGTTTAAAATCAGGAAAGGTGTGTGTCAGGGTTGTATCCTCTCACCACACTTGTTCAATCTATATGCTGAACAAATTATAAGAGAAGCTGGATTATATATGAAGCAGAGTGTGGCATCAGGATTGGAAGAAGGCTTATTAACAACCTGTGGTATATTCATGACACAACCTTGCTTGCTGAAAGTAAGGAGGGATTGGAGCACTTGCTGATGAAGATCAAGGATTACAGCCTTCAGCATAGGTTACAATTCAATGTAAGGAAGACCCAAATCCTTGCAACTGGATCTATAGGTCATATCATGATACATGGAGAATAGGTTGAAGTTGTCAAAAATAGGTCCAAGCTGTCTTGCTAGGATCCACAATCAGTGCTCAAGAAAGCAGCAGTCAAGCGATTGAAAGTATTGCATTAGGTAAATCTGCTGCATAAGACCTCGAGTATTGAAGAGGAAGGATGCTACTTTGAGGACTAAGGTGTGTCTGACGCAAGCAAAGGTATTTTCTTTTTTTTAATCATTTTATTGGGGGCTTGGACAACTCTTATCACAATCCATACAAATATCCATTGTGTCAAGCACTAAAGGGAAGGTATTTTCAATCACCCCGTATGCAGGTGACAGGTGGACATTGATTAGGGTAGACCAAAGAAGAAATGATGCATTTGAATGGTGCTGGTGTAGAATGCTGAAAGTATCATGGACTGCTAAAAGGACAAACTGGTGTGTCTTGGAAAAAGTATGGCTCGAGTGCTTAGATGCCAGGATATGAGACTTTGTCTTACATACTTTGGACATGTTGTCCTTGGAGGAGGACATCAAGCTTAGTAGGGGGGCAGGAAAAAAGAGACGCAGGCCATCAGGGAGATGTATTGACACAGTGGCTGCAACAATGTGCTCAAGCATAGGAAGAATGGCGAATGGCACAGGACTGGGTAGTGTTTCATTCTGCTGGGCATAGAGTCACTATGGGTCCTAACAATGGGCACCTAACAGCAATAATGAATATATGGTTCCTCTTTCCAGAAATGGCAGGCAGCCAATACTAACACTCGTGTTGAAAGAAACAGCCACGACAAAAACTCTGGATTGCAGAAAGTGGCAATTCCTGGGCCAGCTTCTGGATGAGAGACTGTGAACCAAGTATCATAGACTAAAAGCCACTTTCACCTGGAGGACATTTGCTGAGATAAAATCTTAGACAGCAGTTCTAGCTCACTCCATGCTAGTCCTGACTAAACCTTGGGACCCACCCAAGATAGGCAATTTTCTGGAAGGCCCTTCCCACATGAGGGAGTAACTCTCTTTATCCTCAATAATATTTTTCCCTTAAAGTCTACTTTGTCTGATATTGTGAAACATTTTTGTTGGTGGTAGTGGTACAAACATTGTATATCTGTTTCTATCCTATTATTTTTTTACTACTCACACTTTTTGAGGGACAATATGATTTTTTAACTGTGACTTGGGTGAACATTGACAAAGAGAAGTGTTTTATATTCAATAATTTATACAGAAACTGTGATAGTGATTGCAGTTCCCATGATGGAGCAGCACTCTTGCATTTCCTCCCTGTTTACCATTTCTGTTGTCCTTCCCCCCTATTCTCTCCTTCCTCCTGAGCTTTATCCCTGGGCAATACTGTCCTTCCTAATGTTTCAGAGGTGTTTTGTTAACAGAGGTACCCTACACTTTGTCTTTCAACTAGAATATTTCATTGATTTGCAACTACTACAGTACAGATATACTGGATTTATTTCTACCTATTTGTGTGTTCTATTTGTCAAGTCTGTTATATGCATAAATGTTCCTTTCTTGCTAAACATATTTTTGAGATGGTGAAGTATACAGGTATTACTATAGTCCACCCTCCCCGCAATTGGAGTACATG